ATAAATTGTTAATTGAAGTACAGAATGAATATCTTGTACAGGTATAACAAATGATTTATTCCAAATGGGAGCAAGTGTTTTACGTATTGTATGTGTACGTAAACGATTTGAATCAAGTTCAACAACACAAAATGGATCTGATTTACCATTTATATCTTTCGAACTAAGACCACGTGCTTGATAAACTAAATTTTGTTGTTTTTTTTTGTATAAAAAAAAGTTTAAAATAATCATAAAAAATAAATTGTTTACTTTTAATTTCAAGTCTACCAACATCAAACATTGTAGATATTGATCGAAGTGTAGAAAAAAAATTCTAATGAAATAAATAAAAATAAATTTTTAATATAAATTGATTTTTATTTTTTTATGTTACAAACATAATTTTCAAAATCGTTTTCAGATAATTTTGATGGAATACAATCAAGAGCAATATTCAATGAATTTTCACCATCATTAGTTACTTCTTGTAATGCTGTTGTTACTGTTATTGTTATAAATACATCAATTGTACCAGCACCATCTTCAAGATCAACTGGTATTAGATGTGTTCGTTCTTCATCTAAATGAGCTAAATTACAAATTCCTCTAAAGAAAAACAAAAACAAAGAATTGAATTTTAAAAAAAAGACATTTCTTTTATTTATTTACCGTCCTATGAACTCTCCTGAAGCATTACTGTCATCGAAAACAGTTAATTCTAATGGTGGAAGTTCACTAAGCTTTGTATCATACATAAATAATTGACACCATTCAGGATTACTAGTAGATTTTATTGTCTAAACAATAATTAAATGTATAGTAAAATATAATTTTCAAGTGATAAGTTTAATAACAATGAAATACATTGAATTCCGATTTTACTACAGATTTTTATTTAGGCTCATATCAAAATTTGAATTATGAAATTCATGTTTAAGTTCGAAATTGTATGTAATATTCAAAGTTAAAATCACAAATTCATCATTAGATTAATATTTAAGTTTGAAAATGTTTGATTAACTCGATCATGAATATTTTCATAACAAGAAAATCTTAACAACATAAATTAATCAATGTATTGTTTTAATAAGCAATATATCAAAATAAAATTTTATTTTTATTAGACAAAAACTATTTTTCTTTCTCGACTTTATGTAATGTATTGTTATCAGTATTTGATATAGATCAAATTTTTGTGATTCGACTCAACCCGAGATGTGATCTGATCCAAGTCGGATACTGATTGTTATCGATCAATAGATAGGAACTTGATGCAAAAAGAAAAATGAGTTTGCAACTTTTGTTTATGCACAATTTTTAGTTTACAAATGATTACTCAATCGAATAAAAGAATGTGATAATCGATAATTTATCGTTGAATAACGAACAGTACACATTCTGAAGACATCATAAAAATAAATCATATGTTTGAATAGGCTTAACCTTCAATTACCTCCATTTCATAATTCTTTTTCTTTTGCTTTAGATGAAAAATAAGTATGTGTAAACTACTAATGAATGATTGGAAAGTTTTTAGACAAGATGTTTGTTTACTTTTGGTCCGCTAAAAATTATTTCCGACGAATCAAAAGCTATGAGTTAATATTCTCTTTTGGAATATAAACGTAGAAATTTTGTGTCTATTGCCGGCGTCAGGATTAAATGTGAGTGGATGTTAGATGAATATCTCGAGAATAATAATAGTTAGCAATCTGTGGTTTTCACCAATCGAAAGAGTCTGAGTTAGGACATGTTTTGATATAATATTATACAAGATGAAATCATTACCTAACCAATCTTTCCAAAAAATGTATAATAATGCAATGTAGTTCCAATGAAATTTTCAATTGAACATGTTTATTAGATAGAGGAACTTCAACTCTCTAGTTCAAGATATAATTCAAATGTTTATCTTCTCACAGTCTAACGATTAGCCAATGAATTCAGCCATTTGATTGCTAAAATGATAGGGGATTGTGTTGATTTTTTAATCAAGTTTTCTTGCTTTTTGTCAATTTTTCATCGGAACAACAGATCATTTTGATAAAATGTAAAAAAAAACTTGATTAAAAAATCAACGAAATTCCCTATTATTTTAGCAATCAAATGGTCGAATTCATTGGCTCATCGTTAGACTGTGAGAAGATAACCATTTGTATTATATCTTGAACTATAGAGCTGAAGTTCCTCTATCTAATAAACATATTAAATTGAAAATTTCATTGAAACTACATTGCATTATTATACATTTTTTGGAAAGATTGGTTAGGTAATGATTTCATCTTGTATAATATTATATCAAAACATGTCCTAACTCAGTCTCTTTCGATTAGTGAAAACCATAGATCGCTAGCTATTGCCATTCTCGAGATAGTCATTTTACACTCATTCACATTTAATTCTAGCGCCGATACACAAAAATCGAGTTTACTTGAAAATTCAATAATTCGACAAGGGAACGTCGTTTTCGAATGGAGCTTTCAGGATATTCTAAGAGTCATTAGATCTATCTGTAGGCAAAATTTCGTTATTCAATCTTTCAGGAAACATCTAAAAATGAGTAAAAAAATTCAGTAAATCTGTTATACCTCGACGACAAAGATCTATGAGGATAAATCTTTTTAGTCTTTTGCTATTCTCATTGAGACTTGTCTGTGAATCCAAGATGAACTCAAACGGCAGCTATTACTTAGAATAATTTCATTGTAAGTAGTTAATCATAAAAATTTTCTTTTCTTTTTTTGTGATTTTGTTTTTTCATATATCTTACTTGTGTTCGATATTTTTTATTGGTTCCAAATTTAAGTCTAATATAAGGACTACAAAGTTTATTACTATCGACTGATTTTAAATTTCGTCCTTTAATTATATAAACATCAATTGTACGTCGAGGTTGTATGACTACATTATTTACTCCTAAACGACTACCAAATAATAATTGTTTTTGTGAATTTTTTGTCAATGTACGAAGAGCCTTAATTTAAATATAAAAAGAAATTTTTCTTAAAATATTTATTTTTTTTTGTTTTTTACTTCATCACGAAATTCAATTGATTTTGGTGTTAGTGTAATACTAATTTTAATTATACCAATTTTTCCATCATTTCTTTGTTCATTTTCTAATTCAAGTGTTGCAGCATATAATTTCTCTAATGGTAATTTATCTAAATCAATTTTTGTTGTACCCATTGGTTCATCACGTCCAATACGATCATAATCAAATATATTAAAATAAATTGGAATATTTAAATCATGTATAAAAAATGTAAAAGTTTCATTCCATACGGGATTTAAATTATTTAATACAATATTTGTTGCATATTTTTCTTCATTACCATATAAAACTTTAACATATGGATCACTTGAACCATTAATATCTTTAGCAACTAAATCTTTTGCTCTTTCAATACAAATTTCAGTCCAATAAACTTGTTCAGTATTATTATTACTATTGTTGACTGATAATCCATTTGGTACAATTGCTGTAAGTGATGGTGATCTTGTCATAACAGTACGTGCACGTTGAGTTAATTGGTCTTTAAATTTATTTAAACTTAATCGACTTGAACTTAATGTTGAATTAATTCCATTGATTGGTGTTGGATTTTGTTGTTTTTCATCGTCAATTATCATATTTAAGGAGTCATTTAATATCATCGTCTTTTCAGGACTATTTTGGATAGTTGTATTAACAAGAGGAAATAATTGTGAAGATGAATCAATTTCATTTTTTATTGAATTTTGATCCCCTTCTTTTATAGACGATGATTTTGTCTCCTAGAAGTAAAATAAGAATATTTTATATATTGAAATAAAAATTTTATATTAAAACAAAAATCACCTTGATACAAGCACATAAATATTTCATGATTACATTATCTTTAGGTGTATCAGAGTAGTTCATTTACAAATAAAATAAAACTTTTATAATTGATAAGCATGAATCACTTTGAATAGAAGTCATTTTTCTTCTCTTCAATTGATTTCTATATCTCGAATAACATAAACTTAAAGAAAAGGCTCGTAACACGCACATTGGAAATGCAACAGATGATTAATTACAACAAAAATAATCTATTTTTATCAACTATCGAACAGAACATAAAAAAGAAAAACAGCGAACGAAAAGAATAGAGATTCAGGGTCGTATTTTCTAGCACATATTGGTTTTATTTTTTTTCCTATTCAACTTTCTTTTACTTAATGATCTTATATCATTGTTTTTTTTTTTGCTATTTATGAGAAAATGAAAATGCCTAGATTCATACAGTTTACAAGATACTTCATCAATATAGAATATCTTTTGATAAATATTCATATGAAATTGTTACATGAATATTAAAAGAATAATATAAAAGTGTAGTTCTTACTAGAATAAAAAACCTATACAATGTTTGAAATAAATCTCATACTCACTCCATTAGGTTTTTGTAATATAATATCCATGTATGTGACGTTAATTTTTACGTCTTATGCATCAACGTCAAACAACATAAAAGTAAGAAATATGCAAGCAAAAAAAAAATCGATCAAGCGAATCGATGTATATATATATGTAACTTGTCAACTATCATTTGTTTTTTAGTAAAGGAAAAACAAAAGAGAGTGTAATAAATAGAGGTCGATTTGTAACTGATTAATTGGTTGATGTTATGTAGTTTTTACAGAAATTTATGGAACACGAATGAGTGGCATAATCAAAAAAGACTGAATCCTTCTCTAGAAATATTCAAACTCTCCTCTCTTTAGAAAATTTGAACATGTTATGACTTTTGATGTAAGTCTTATCTGGCAGACTAACGAAATGTTTGACTTCGTCATGAATTTTGTTTTTGTTTACACAACTATTAATGATTGACAAAATAATTTATGTTGCATATTGGCAATATTTGTTTGATAAAAACGTGTTTCAAAAATGTAATCAATTATTAATTGACTGTGATATTACAAAAAAAAAAAATGAATGATTTGCATACAAAAATTTGACATGCATCAATAATGAAAAGATTCGGTATTTTTTAGAATTCAAAATAACTCACTGTAATCGACATAATAGATGGTAATAGTAAATATTTATTATCATCATTCGATATTGATGATATAGTTTGACGGTGTTTATGAGTTCCAATAATATGTGTTTTAACTTGATTCAATAAAGATAAACGATGTGAAAATGAAATTGGCGTTTTAGTTTTTGAAGTTCTTTTTATATAAGATTTTGGTGAACGTTGTTCAATATTAACATTATCAAATGATCGATGTTTTTTACGAAGTAATGAGACTGATGGAGATTCATTTGTTGTATCTGTTGGATGTCGACTACAACTTCTACCGGTAAGTGTTGCACGTATTTGACGTAATAATGAACGAGATCGATTATTATTATTATTATCGTTCGATATAGATGTAGAATCAATCTTTGCATCAAACATATTGGTTTTTAAATAATATTAACTAAAAAAAAAACAATAAAATATAAAAAGTGGATACTTTTTTTGCGAATAAAAATTTCTGAAATATATTAATCTATTATCATTGATAGAAAATATCACTTTTAAATGGTTGCATATTAATGAAACAACACATGTATTTACATTGTATCATATACGTTTCATGTGAATAAGTTGATAGATTACTAAATGAATAAATAAAAAGCAAAACAAATGTTTCGTGAGATTTTTTATAATATAAAAAAAAGAGAAACTTCACTTCATTTTTTTTCATCAATTCTCAATATTTCTATGACTCTCATCAACTAATTTCGATTGTATAGCAATATTGACTTTCAATCAATAGATACTGTTACAGTGCATTTTTATAACATATACATCGATTCTCTTTATTCTCTTTTCTTTGATTATTCCTTTGTTCATCTGATATCATCGTTTAGTTTCTATTATTTCTTTTCTTTGACCTTAATTAATCTTTGTACTCTTTTCTATTTTTGTCCTTGTTTTCATATTCGTATATGAACATTCGTTTTTCAACGAATAAACAGAGAGAGAGAGAGAGAGAGAGAGATAAGAAACCGCACATATCGTTAACTGTATTCATTGCTCTTTCTGAGTACGAACACTAACATTTGGCGACCCTGATTTTTTTCTGATAGTTCACAATTAAGGAAGGTCGAATCATTGATTTAACCATCCAGTATTATAACGATCATCTGTTCGCTACTTTTTTGCTTCAATTATTAAAACAAAATCTCTTTCCAAAGAGAGTCATCTGTGAATTGTATCAAATCTCTACTAACAATATTAGTTATCAAATGCATTCAAAATCACTAATCGTGACTTTTGACAAGATTAAATTTGATTATTTCAATATAGAAGAGATCTTCTTTCTATCTCGATAATCCGATGGAACAAATTGCATGGAAAACATATGCCGTTCAACATATCAAAAGGCACGCATTATCTAGAAGTTATAATAATTTATGTGGGGACTCTATTATTCGAACGAACGTATCATCCCTAGGACCTTTCTAATGAAGAGATTCATGCTATTGCTAAATATGTCAAATCAAATGGAATAATTTATTATTATTAGATTAATCTAATGAGTTATAATTTAGCGTAGCATGGTCGGAGAACGTGGATTTCCCTCACTCACTGATTCTGAAGGACTATTATATTCAATTTGACACATGTCTATTAATATTATTTTATCATTCTATCATACGAAATACAATTTTAGGATATGTTTAATTATTCAATCATTCTTAACAGATTCTCATATGGGTAGTGAACTTGGATAAAGAACCAATATTTCGTAATATATTTTATTGACATATGAGAAATAAAACGAATCATCGATGACTTTGCTTGTCATTTCAAAAAAAACACAATTTCAAAATTTATTATTATTATTATGTTATTTACATTTACTTAGTTTTGAATGCAAACTAGTTGATCAAGTTAAATAACATCAAACAAGAATCAACGAGATATAATGATCAAAGCCGTTGGTCTATATTGGTCCATTTTCTTATGGATAGACCAGTCTTCTGTTTTCATATTGAATTTTTCTTTCTTCTATTCGTTACTTTTAAGATATTTTTTTCCTATATCTATACATATTACTGTTACATATGTGAGATGCCTTTGTTACTTGTTTACATCATTAAATATGTTTTTTTCTTTCTCATACTTCTATTGGCATTTTATTATACTTATGTGTTAATCGTTTCTTTTCGAAGATTTTCTCATGTTATAGTTTATTATTTTTAGCCCCTTCTGATATTACTGATTTTTCTATCTAAACATTTCATTGTTATTTCTATCTTTTTCCAAGAACGTTGATAGAACACGTTTTTTTGTTCAATAGAAGAGTATGTTACAATGCATTGTTATAACCTACACGTCTATTCTCTTTATTCTCTTTTCTTTGATTATACCTTTGTTCATCTAATATCTTCGATAACATCACTTTGTTTCTATTATGTCTTTTATTTGACGCTAATTAACCTTTATATTCTTTTCTATTTTTGTCCTTGTTTTTATATTCGTATATGAACACTCATTTTTGAAAGAATAAACAGAGAAAGAAGAAACCGCGCACATATTTAACTATATTCGTCACTCTTTTTGAGCGAACTATCTCGTATCTTCGAAATGACTATCCAATTCCGATTGGAAAATTTCATTGGGAGTATCTAAGTACTATTCGACTGGGTTCGGGTCCAAAAATGTTGGATTCAACAGGATTTAAAAACGGGAGAACCTTTCCAGGTGTTGAATCGCTTGCCGACCGAGATGATGTTAATTTGATGACTAATAGAAATGTCTAGAATAGTTTAGTTTCGGAGTTTTCATTCTGGAGATATCAAAATTTTATTGAGTTTTGACTTCAAAATTTTGTCCGAACAAAGTTCTTAACGAGATTAGTTGATTATGTAACTTTTCGACGTTTCTAGTATTTCCTTTTTTATTTATATATTCGCATCACCAAAAAAGAAATACTAGAAACGCCAAAAAGTTACACAATTAACTAATCTCATTGAGAACTTTGTTCATGGCAAAATTTGAAGATGAAATTCAAAAGTTGATTTTTCATATGATCACAGCGTTTTTGTTGAAAAATCCAGTAAAATTTTGATATATTAAGAACGAAGGCCCAGAAAACCAAACTACTCTAGACTTTTCTATCACTAATCAAATTAATATCATCTCGATCGGCAAGCGATTTGACATTTGGAGAGGTTTATTCGTCAGCTCGACGAAAAATCACATATATACTTGAATTATGTATTCGAGAATGAGCTGTAGCATTGATTCATGTTTTGAAAATGGCACAATTTTATTTATCTCTTTTGAATCTATTACTACGATTATCAGTACCACTATACTGAACATACTAATATAAAGAAATATGCATTCATTGAATGAAACTAAATGATATGCATTATACTATTAAATAATATCGTTTTTTTTTTACACGAGTCTTTGCACTAGTTCTTATTCAGAAAGAAATCGTCTCAAACATTTGTTCTTGAAGACTAATGATTTTTTCATTGTTTCTACTTCATTGTCAATGTCAAACGATCATTTAAATAACTTAAAATTATCTTTCTAACAATAAATGATAATAAGAAAATCATTGTAATAATATACCGACCATTGCTACATATATACCAAATAAATTTCTGTAATAATCTATTGGAAATGTTACATTCTTGCTTAAACATCTATATTTTGAATGATGATCTTACGTCATTTATCTTTTGTTTTTAATTAAATACAAAATATTATGTACTCACTTTTATGATAATTATCATTCATAATATTTTTTTCAGCTAGAAAAAAAATACCATAGAAATATTATTTATCAGCATACAAATCAAACTCTAGAATCGGTTAATAATCTATTTATGTACAAAGCATCGTATAGAATCTGTGTTTCTGTTCTATAAAGCAGGAAAAAGCAAAAAACTGTCGTATCAGACCATAAAAAACGGTTGTTTCTGAGCATATTATGAAGATAACTCATTTCTTTTTCTTTACGTTGTGTCATTTTTCCGTTCTATTGCTCCCAGATGATAATAGTAGTGATAATAAGAAAAAGAAAAATAACGCCAGTATTAAGACATTACTAAAATAAATATGGAAAGTATTTCGCTTAGTTGATTTGGATGAATCGAACAATTGTGCATTGAAGCACGGAGCAACAAATAAGCGAAGAATGAAAGAACTCATATGTTTGCATTATGCGACCTTGTTGAAGAGAACCTCTCTGAAAATATCATCAATTGTTTATTTAGAAAAAAAGAATCTTTTTGTTTTATCTTTCTCATAGTTCTTTTTCTTGAATATTTAATATGAGAGACATCGATGAAAATTTATAGATACAAATAACAATAACAAAAAAAAAAAGACTATTGAATTGAATTCATAATCAAGTTTCCATTTTTGATTCTGTTTCTTGCTTTGTATCTAACAAAAAAATAAATAAATAAATATATATCAGATTTAAATATTTAGGTCTGACCCAAAAGTTCTGTTATCATTAAATAGAAACATAAAGATAATGAGATATTTTTAATTTTATTTTATAAAATGTTGAGGATAGTTGCCAGTATTATTTATTCCAAGATCAATCTTTTCTAACAATTAAAATTTTTTTTGAACTCTTCTTGTGAAAAATTTTTAGCTACCTTGAAAATCGCATGAGCACATCATATTTCATTTATTTAACTAGTTAAACTACGTCCGACACAACTACTTAATCATAGATTATGTAGTATCAGGTCGGGCGAATATGGTAAATGTGACATTATATTGACATCTCCTTCTGTCAAATAATTAATAACATTGGACGAGTATGAAGTCAACGACGATCTTCAAGCAATTTTAGACATTTGGAACCTGATGTCTTTGTTTGTTTTTATATTACATTAACAAAAGGCTGCAGACAATTTTCAACATAATATTTGTGACCTACAAGCTTGTCTTTATCTACACTCAAGACTATTTGATTTAAAGAATATACCAAACAAAGTTTTGATTCAAATCTGTCTCTATGAGCAATAATCTTTGACCATTCATCTTCAATATGCCAGCTAGCATTAGATGACTTATAATTAACCTATATAAAATAAATCCATATCTCATCACTAGTAATACTAGAACACAACTGGCATAATCGAACAAAATTTCGCTAAATTTTTAAAACAAATGAAACATGATTAGCTCATACGGTTTCCAAGGTAGCTAAAAATTTTGTCAGAAAAAGAGTTTAAATAAAAAAAACTTTTAATTAATTGTTAGAAAAGATTGATCTTGGAATAAATAATACTGACAACTATTCTCAATATTTGATGAAACAAAAATTAAAAATATCTTCTTATCTTTATATTTTTATTTAATGATGACAGAACTTTTAATCAGACCTAAGTAACTAGTATTAATACATACTACTAAGATCATTGAACATA